TTTTAAATACCCTATTGTTAAAATAAACAAACAAATAAATAAGTTACTCATATTTCCAAGACAAATAATCCCATTTGTTTACTCCAGTAAATGTAAAGGGTTACAGAATATTTAGCTGTATCTAATGCTGCAAGCCACAACATTCACATCCTAAACACTTGACTTCCAAGCACAAAGAAAGAAGCAGAAGGTATAAAGTATGTAGCTAAAGCAGCATGGTATCTTCTAATTTTGCTGTGCAGAAAAGAATATATCCTTTTTAGAAGTTATGCACCATCAACTTATACAGCAAGTGCTAAAAGAATACAATAAACAATCACATTATACAAATCATCTACATCTAAAGTGCTGAATGGATTGCATGCAATACTATAATACCAGCCCTTATCCCACAACAAAATCTCTCAGGCATAGTTTTACCATCAGCAAATTCACAAGGCTCACTTTAATGAAAATTATATCTGAGAACATAATTTGGCTCTTAATCCAAGGATATAATTTAGCCCTTAAGTATATGTCCTGGTTTCAGCTGGGATAGAGTGAATTTTCTTCCTAGTAGCTGGTACAGCGCTGTGTTTTGGATTTAGGATGAGAATAATGTGGATAACACACTGATGTTTCAGTTGTTGCTAAGTGGTGCTTACACTAGCCAAGGACTTTTCAGCTTCTCACGCCCTGCCAGCGAGGAGCTGGGAGGGGGCACAGCCAGGACAGCTGACCCAAACTGGCCAAAGGGCTATCCCATACCATGTGACACCATGCTCAGTACATAAACTGGGGGGAGTTGGCCAGTGGCAGCAAATGGATCTCTGCTTGGGGACTCAGTGGGTGTTGGTCAGCAGGTGATGAGCGGTTGCATCACTTGTTTTTTTTTTTTTCTTTCCCTGGGTTTTTGTTTCTCTCTCTTATTGTACTACTTTCCATTATTATTATTAATTATTATTATTTTATTTCAAGTACTATACTGAGGTGAGTGAGCGGCTGTGTGGTGCTCAGTTGCTGACTGGGGTTAAAACACGATAGTGTACAACTGAGAAAAAAATCATTAAGCTCAGTTCTTATATTTGCTTCCTGTTCCTACACTACTAATTTAAAACGTCCCTGAATTAGGCATGGGCATTAACTGCTGACCACATTTCACCCAATAGGTGTACTAGGTCAGATCACAGATGTCGCTACCTCAGCACACCATCTCAACAGTGAATGGCCAAGGGAGCGTATAAGAACAAAGCTAGTACGTAGTGATAGCTCCCCAGAATGCTGGGGCTTAAAGCCATCTGAGGCTCAGGGACTTGCTGAGCCAAAGGTGGTGTCTTTGAATTTGGAAGAAGAAGAAGAAAATATAGATTAGACAATCTGGCCCCTTCTAGATGAACACTTCTTTCTCTAGAAAAACTGAATGAATACGTACAAAGCATATAAATTCTGATATAAAGTTTCAGTTTTAACTATGTAAAACCAGTCTGTAATTGCAATTTCTGTGCACCGAACTGTTTACCCATATGTGTTTGCAGTAATGTTCATGATGTTGGCTTTAAAAATATGCCTTGTGATTACATGAAAAGTTTACAGTATTGCATGACTGAAAAATTGAAGGGATCCAAAGAGCGCTCGACTAATTTGGGTCTCACGTATGGCATACAAAATACATCCTTCCTTGACCAAGCCTTAAAAAGCAAAATCTGCAAATCATGTTAAGCCATAATATTGACAGGTGAAGGCCCATTTCATAATAGTAGAACTGAGCTTGGTTGGACACTGTTACTTATTTACAAAGGTAGCAAAGGCTGTTGTACATTCTCATAGAGTACAGCAACAGCCACCTGAAAATTCTAGATTTTTCAGATTTGCCTCTCTTAATGTATCATATATTGAAATACATCAAACCTAACACCACCACCAAGCAAACCTTGCTACGTAAAAATAATGCTGCTGCTTCTACCTCTCTATGCAGCTACCACACACTGAATCTACCATGCAAACAGCATATTGGCTAATCTTTCTTTCTTTGGACAGAAGGAAAAGAAAGTTGAAGGGAGAGAAAAGCAGAAGAAACGGGGTAACATATATTGATACATGTATCAATAAACAACAGCTTGAACTCTAGAGCTAGGGAACCACAGAGCATGAGTTTTGTAGAAGTCTGACTGACCTGTGACAGAAATCAGATTTTTTTTTTCTGCTTTCCGCATGACCTTTGGACAGGGGCAAGGGGAGTAAATAAAGTCTATCAAGATCTCTGTTTACCTGGACAAGAGTTTCGGAATAGCAAACATCAACCACACACAAGTTTCTACAATCACACTGCGTCTTGAAAAAAAAAAAAAAAAGCCTTAATTTTTGCCCATTTCCCAGAGGGATGTAAATCTCAAGTAGAAAGTTTCAATACAAATGGAACGAGTTACAATAATTTCATTTTCTGTTTTGTCTAATGCATCCATTCAAGAATGCATTTACTACATCTTCAGGGCTTCGTAGTTTTCCTGTTTATTTTAATAACAGTAGTTTCATGCCTAGAGCTCTGTGTACTGAGATAAAGAGATCAAGGCACCTACACCAAAACCCACTGTATGTCATGTGAATCATAGTCTTTCTTGATCTGCTATCATATTTGCCATTCAGACATATACACTGGTAGCAGCCCACTGTAATGTGAAAATCTCAGCTGACTGTAGAGGTAGAGGTGAAAACACACTGAGACAGCAGTCATTTAATCAAATTCCTGTTGTAGCCAGTTCCAAATTTTTCCATTGTTTAAATGAACACAATGCTACTGTCTTCCATTGATCAAAAATAAACATAGCATACAGAAGATATAGACAGAAAGGAAGGAAAAGGGGGAAAGCATGACAAAGAGGTGAGAAACATAGACATATAAACCGTATGTGCAGCCTTTATCCAGGGCTTTCTATCTTCAATTACAGCAAGCAAAACAGTACCAGTCACCAATAGGAAAAGGCCTAATATGAGCATACAAATTACAGGGAGTTCGTTGAGTAATGAAAGGTTAGAGTTGAGCAACTAACTGCATCTCAGAGTACTTACGCATCTTCTCCCCTATGGGAGGTGGAATATGATGCTTCTGTAAGGCCTCCATGTTTCATTGAAAACACACTGTGTTATCCAAGACCAATGCTGAAGCTGACCCGGCCCTTTGAGCGACACAGGCTAAAGCACACTCACGCAAGCAGCTCAAATTGCAAAGATGAAGACTAGCAGCAAAGAAATGATGATTAGCAGCTGAGGAAAGTTAGGAGTGTAAGATCTTCCCTGGTATGTCTGCAGTTAGAAAAGCGACTGTTTCTGACTCACCTGTAGCACCAGAGTACAAATGTAGATTAAGTATTAAAGTAAGCTGCTTGGACAAAAACAAACAAAAAACGCCAACGAAAATGTTGCATGGGGCACAGTCACAGACTTCTTTCAATATTTCCAATGTTAAAACATCTGAAAGATGTTTTAAAGAAAAAGGTATTTCTTACAACAGAAGTCTTACTTTGTGGATGTGTGAAGTAAACTTGAATAGGTAATATTTCAAGGTAGCAGTGCTACCAGTATTGCCTGCTCCAAATAACGACCCAAGTATCAAATCTTTGTGACACTCCACATTTTATGTGATCCTGCACAGTCTTGAAAATTAAATGTTGAGGGGATAGAAAGCAGTGATAGCAGGCTATCAATACAACTGTAGCCAGAAACACCATGGCAGACTCCTACCGAAAATAACCCGGGCTTTTACGCTGAGTTTATGAACTCCATTTATGCTGCATTGCCAATACACAATTTCTAAGCAATCATTTGAAAAAGTAACACAGAGTTAATGAAATTGAACTCTTTTGTACTTAAAGGAGGAACACATATGAAATTTCTTTCACAAGAACTGCCCAGTCACAAACCTACTGTTCCCTTGCATGGCAGGGTACTGCACTTGCTTAGGTCTCACGCACTTACACCGCTTCCCCCTACACTGTTTTCCCCCTCACTAGCCTACTGATTTATTTTCCATTCAATACCTCAATGTCTCCTTTTTCTGTACAATTAATTCCAGAAATTGTTAACTCCCTCATTCTGCCAAGCGTTTCCTATCTAATATTCCCAAGAAACCAAACATATAAAGTAAACAAAGGATATGTTACAGCAAAATATGTATCAAAGAAATGGGCAAAAGGGAAAGAGGGAAAGAAAGCATTTCAGTTAAACTGGGACAATACACATTGCAGATTCAATTTTCTACAAAATGACCTTAATCAAATGCTTGGGATTTCATAGCATAACTAAATTAGCAGTTCTCAGCAAAGCCCGTAAGGATGACATATCTAAGACATTTCAGTAACTGACAAAATGTGCCACTTCTAAAACATTTATTAAGCATTTGCATAACAGCTGATATGGCTTTAATTTCAAATTTATTAAAAACACACAATCATGTTACACAAAACCAGACATACCCACAATTATAAGAAATAACAGCTCACTATGGTTTCCAGTGGAAAAGCAGAAAGTTTCCCATGGTTTGTTTTGTTTTAGGCAAGGAAGGAAAGTAACCTAATTCATCTAACCTAAAGAAACAACATCACCTTGGCTAAATACAAGCAAACACAACTTCTGCCAATGTTGTTGTCTTACCAATAAATATTTGCCATCTTCTACTCACCCCACTTCCCTCCTAAATTAGTCACCATCTGCTTAATCTCAACCGAGATCTCAGTATTTCACCTACTGCAAAGATGAATGTTGGGTATAAACACAGCTCTTGGGAGGCAAGGCAATCTCTGCTGCAGGATAACAGAAGAAATGTCTCTACATGGTTACAATCATTTGCTTTTCACTGCTTATTCAGAAGAACGCAGCAGAAAAGTTCAGGTCATTTCCTGACTGGCACAGCAAGTTATAGCAAGATACACATTCTATTAATTTTTAATTGCATTGCTTGCAGACTGAAAGCCCAAAAGGGGAGCGTTTCTTTTTAAAGCATAAAGAAGGGCACTGAAACTGCTTACCTCACTCAGCTCTGCAGGGGAGTCATTTCCATATTTCATAGCAACTCCAGAATTCATGATTAGACTTCTCGGGGCTTGACGATTTCTGCAGATTTTAATGCTTCGAAGCTTTGTTCAACTGATTCAATACTTTCTTCTCCAAAATTTTTCCGTCTTGCGCATTCTGCTCTAGACAGCCATTTTTACTCCACATTGATAGTTTAAATTAATGATGCAAGATTTTCTAAAAGCACCAAACTGGTTTTGACTTCACAGACAATCCATTGCTGTGAGAGACTTGTTAATACTGTGAAGTGCTCAGAGAATGCAGGGAAGGAACTGCTTGCCAGGATCCCAGGGCTGTCTTAGTCCATCCGCAAGGCGTGCTTCATCTCTGCTGCCTTTTTTATGCCGCTCTCTTCCACAACTCTGCTTAAGGGCATCTCCCAATGCCACTTAATGCGCTCAGAAAAATTTGATGAGCGTCACGCAAGTTCACAGAGAAATTAAAAGGAGAGTGCTGCTACAGTCTTCAGTGTTCGGGGAGGGATAAGCGAAAAGAGAAGAAAGCTCCCCTCCCCGAGCTGCACTTCACGCTAAAGTTTCCCCTGCCAGTGAGCCTGGAGTTTAAGTGGTTTATGATCAAACACAGCTGTCTTGCTGCTGGCTAAAGGGTGCATGGAAGGGGCGGTACTAAAAGGAGTGTGCAAGTGGGAGGGAGAGAGCTACAGAGAGTTCATTTTGGAATTACAGGCATCTTTCCAGCTTTCTGCATACTAATTACTATACACGAAACTATAAAGCTAAGTAACAGGAAATGCCACCTGGATAACAATAAAGTGGATTTCTATTTCCCTATTCCCATGTGCAATTAAGTAAGGAAAGTTGGGGGGCTTTAGGAGGTGGGGGTTGTAATGATTTCAAAAGGTCACAGTAAGCCCAAAAGCACCATTAGAAAGCTGCAGATTTCACATAACACACTGACATTTTACAAAGACTTTGGGGAGATGCTACTGGAAGAAGGGGTGAAAAAAGCATTTGCTTTCAACATTCAACTAATAATCTAGAAAAATCCTTAACAAGCTGGATTTGTGGACATGCTGCACCCATTACAAGAACAGACAACCTCCTTTCCCCTTCCCTCCATCCCCTAAAACATAGTGACAGCCCCACACACTTTGTGATGCTGGATTATGATGTACTTTTGGAGTTAGAAGTAGGAAATACCTTACTCTGCAGCTGAAATGTACCTGATCATCTTAATACAATGTATTAGTAAATAGTCGTCAAATGAGTTCAGAAAAAAACCCCAACAGGAATAAATACTATACAAGCTGTGGCACAATTCTCGCACCCTGGCAAAAACATTTACATGGGAAACAATGCTCTCCAAGAGGAACATTTTGAAAATCATCTTGTGATTTTTTTTTTTTCTCCTCTGTTAATCACAGATTAATATCAGCATGCAGACATAGGGATAATTCATCCAAATGACAATACAGAAAGTGCATTAAGAACAAGAACCAAGACAGACACATATGTATCGCTCTATGATACTAAAAAGCAGTAGCACTTTCTGGGCCCCTGTCCTTCCTCTGTGCCCAGCATCAGGAACTGCAACGCTCCTCTGGCTCAGGGCGTAAGGGGAATGCCACAATCTCTTTACAAGATGTTTTACTTTCATCCTCCAGGTCTATTTTCCAGCCTTTCCTTTCTCTTCTCTGTATGTTTCCCGTTCTCCAGTTTGCTTTCTAGTCATCCGTATTTTTGGATTTCCCTTCTTCTTTCCATGCCCACCTTGCATTGCCTCCATTCTTCGTTATTTTCCTCCTTGAGAGCATCCTCCCTGTCTCGCCTGTACATTCAGTTCTGTCTCTACGTCTAGTGCTTCTCTGCATATTCCTCCTCACCCATCTGCTTTGTTCCCGACATATGTTTCCACTTACGGCTCCCCCGGCCCGGGCCACGGGCTGCACTGCTCTCTGCTGGCCAGACGGCTGCTGGCTCAGCCACAGCAAACGGCGCACTGCCGCGCTGGCCAAACCGCGCTTTGCCCCTCCAGCGGGTAGGCAGCCGGGCAGAGGCAGAGTCCTCCAGACTACAGACTGCAGCCCGGAACAGTATACCCACAGCAGTTTTGTACACGGATTTCCTGTGCATTAAAATGTGATTAACGGCGTTTTATACCCAGGAACAAAGGTACCGTATAATGACTTACCTCATTTCTCATACATGAGAAAAAAACAACTTCAGTTCAAAAATTCCTGCAGCTGACACAGCACGTTTAAATTTTTTTATCTTTTCCAAGTTATGCCTTCACGAATGGGAGGGTCACAGAGTTTTTGTATTTTGCATCACCACCCCTATCAACTTCTATATTCCCTCTTATAATCTGCTTAGAATCTACTCCGATCCTATCTTTGTCCAATTCTGTCATATGTATCACAGGTTCACCAACACAGGGATGAATCTCAGAATTACTTAAGAACAAAGTTCTAAGGTTTTCCTTTTCTAAAGGAAAGGCCATATTAATTATGGCTTTGATATACTGCATTTCCAGTACTATATCCCTATACTGCCAAATACTTCCCAGCTGACTATAAACAGGCATTCAGAAATTGAAAGTTTTGATTTCCTTTCCTCGCTCACCATTGTTGTCCATTCCTGGTGGACTAGCCATCAGACAGAACAGAGCACACAGCACCACAGATGCATCCCAAGCATAATGGTGCAGGGCACCTGAGGATCTGAACTAGATCCACTCCGTACTGTACCCATATGCTGCACAGGATTTTTTTCTGCCTCTTTCCTACTCCATACGGTAACATGGTGGAAAGAGACAGAGATACTGACTGAAAAACAACAGCAGAATTCACAGTTTCAGATGTGCACAAGAACATGAGAGATACATGCAGATACTTTCAGAACAATGTTTATTTAAAATTTTAAAATTAACTGTAACTCACGTGCAAATTAATGAAACCAAAGTTTGGTTCATAAGTTAAACCAAACTTTGATGAAAAATGATTTTACTTTCACCCCAGCTGATTCCCACTGCAATCTCCGCATGCTTGCACTGAGTGGTGCGGAATTACACATTTCTCAGTTGGAAAGTATCAACTGTTACCCTTAACTAACCCATAAGCACTGGCACTGCTTGTTTCAATGTGGCTTGAAGTCCTTATAAACTTTGCAGGCATTTCTTTATTGTGGAGGGCTAGCTAAGACTAAATGTAATAATTCTTCTAAAATAGTTATTATTATATCACATTTTTAAATACTCAGTAGCATTGAGAACACATTCTGAATACCTGAAGATGTAGAACTTGTTCCTCTGTGAAACGTCATATTATCTGGCATTTCTCCGAGTCCATTTACTAACTGAATGAAAACATTACATCACAAAATTAAATTCCCAGATAGACCTGACCAATTGTCTCCAGGCAGTTTCACCATTTTCAAATACATGTAAGTGACTTAATACAGTAGCAGGGTACTAAGAACTTTGTTGAAGACGAAGTATATTTTCCCATTGGCTTGTGCCAAAGGCAGGCTTCGAAGAAAACAAAGGAAAATCTCAAGTATGCCAATTTTGCATTGCCAGAAAAAGAACAGAGCACGCTGTCATCCAGCGAGAGAGAGGTGCCTGTTGGACTCAGTCCCTCTCTGTTCCTGTTTTGCGGCTGACTGTTCATTCTTTCTCTCCCTGACCCAGTTCGTCGCCTAGGAGAGCGATGCTTCCTCGCCCTCAGCCTTGTGCCTGTCTTCTTTTTTAGCCTCTACAGTTGGGACGGGAATGGAAAGAGGAATCTCTTAACCTACGGATGTACATTTCTTAGCCCAAGAGGGCATGGTCTCAGTGGATGCCTCAGTGTGTATTATGATGCAAACAAGAAGGGGGAGACAGGAAGCTTTCAGAGACAGCATCCACCAAACGCGTTCTGTCAAGACAGAGACACTGGCCTGGGCTTCCACTCAGCCTCAGTGCATTCTGATCAATTGCTGCTTTCTGTACCTCTAAAGCACTCATGATGTATACTGCTTGTAGGAAAGTGCATTTGCACTGACAGATTCTTCCCAAGATAATTTCAGAATTATCCAGTAACAACCATTAGTGTGGCCAGTTTGCTGATTGTTGATCTAATAATCCTATGGCCACTCTATTCCATTTGTTTACTCTTATTAAACTGTAGTAAAAGAATCATTGACACGTATCTGAGATTTACCGAGGAGTCTACCTTTTGAATAATTATTTAATAAGATTTAATCTACCACCTGGTGTAAAAGGATTCTTTTGGGACCTCTCTCTTGCCCTTCTCACCTTTACTTTTGAAACTGCCACAGAATATGGAAAAAATTAGCACTGTAGATATTTTACAAGGTTTCTCCCTCATAATATGTCTCAGTAATTACAATACTCTATTTCTTAACAGTTACTGGAGCAGGTGTGACAACTGCCATACATGAATGTTCCTTGTTTTGGCAGCTGCAGAGTGAAAACTACAGCATAAAAGCAATTATCTATTAAGGATGTACGTATCACATGTTCTTCAACATAGTGTGTACCACTTTCTGAGAAGCAGTTTCACTCTGTGTACAACATACATGATTAGCTGACCACAATTCCAGGACGTATGAAATAAGACCTTCTTGGTTTGTTCTGTTTAATTAACTCTGTAATTGAAATGACACTAATTGAAGTCCACCGAACATTTAGTTCATGTCTGTTTGTTTCAATATCATCTCTACAGTTAGAGCAGCACCCTGCACAATCCCCCACACAAATAAATTACACCTTCAAATATTGCAAATCTACTACACAATTTGAGTACAACATATTTTTGTTCTCACTCTGGCACAAAATACACAGGTGTAGTGCCAAAGTCTAAATTTCTATGGACAAAATAGTAGCACTCAGAAGGTTAGCAGGAAGGCTAAACTTGGAAGCGGAAATTCAATATAGTAGTTGGATAATGTTTCCAGAAAATTCTCTATTCAATAGCACTAATGCACTATGATTTAAAAGGGAGAGGCTGAAAGGGATTGTAGGTTCTTCTTGATGCAAACTGTTCTCATTAATGCTAGTGAAGGTTATGTACCTAGGCTGAGAGAAAAAAATCCAACTCATTTGAAACAATTGTAAGTAACCTTATACTGAAGAATGAAGCACTCTCTTTGAAAAAAC